AGGAAAACTGAAAGAGGCTTATTGGTACAATCCTGCACAATAAAAGTGTTAGCTTGTCCTGCATTGGTTTGTGGTCATGCAGTGACCTTTTCCTCTAGGGTTATGTAGTTCCTGCTTGGCATTTATTTCCAAAAATTGTCCAGTTTCATTGCAATTAAAAACCTGATGTGGTACGTAACTTTTAGAGTTGATAGAGTTTGACAATCGTCTTGACATAGGCATCTGCTGCTTTTCTTTTATCCGAACTAGCTATCTCACCATGCGGAACAACACTATAAATTCCAGTTCGCTGATGAAATTTCTAAAACCAGCCTCTATTTGCTTTAAATTCATCAATGCTAGCATCACCTGTGTTTGGCGTGTTAACCTCTACATAACTGTGTAAAAGTCAAAACTTTTTAGGGCCTTGCAAACACTACCTCCAACAAGCTGCTTTTCATCAATCACTTATGTAGAGCTTTGAGAGAGAACTAAACAAATTCAAGTAAATCAAGAGATGAGGATAGAGATGCTGATGCTGGATAGGACACACGTTTTAAAAATTTAAAAAAAAAAAAGCTGAGAAAAATGTGCTAGAAGGTCTTCACATTGGAATCCACAGTCATATAAATAAAAGCAGACAAACAAAATGGGGAAGAGAGCTAGAGAGTGAAAAAACAATAAGGGGGATTTTGGGTGAGCTTCATGTGATAACAAAAAATATGATGCCTTGGTGTGTGTTGGTTGGGGGGGGGGGGGTCTATGCTCCATTGAGGGATAAATAGCAGCAGCGGAAAAAGAAGAAGAAGATTTCCTGGATACATGCACCTATACTTAGCCAAGTATGTGTGCTTGTAGGTATGTATGTCTTTTTCATATTTATTACTTTGTTAGCATCTACTAAAAACTGACTATATAACTTATAGCTAGTCATAGATGTTTCTTGGCCTTTTTTTTTAAATACCTGTTTCTGTGTTATTACTGACAGTTGTGGGACATGATTTGAATGATGTTGAGTGTGAGAAAAATAGTTGTGTTGTTTTCCCTGTACTTTCTGCAACTAGCTGGCACAAGAATATATCTTCTTTATCATTCTTCAAGTCAAGGGGTCTTATCATGTTGTTTAAAAAACAAGTGAGTAATGGGCCCTTGTCTACTCCACATTAGATAGGCGGAGCTATAATTGCTTGCTTGTTGTACCCCACCAGGACATCACACAAGCGATAAACACCCGGTGACACAAAGTGCCACCATGCGGATGAGGATCACCAGTGGAGAGTTCCCAGAAACCTCTTTCAGCTGTTATGGCCACAATTGTGGCCCAGCTATATTCAGGGCCCCTGGCAAAAGCCTGGGTGGAGCTTCCAATAAGGAAAAATTGCATCTCACAATGGGAAGATTTAGACACCCCTAGGAGCTAGAATGCTAGAATCATTTCTATAAACCAGTTAACACTAGACAGATAATATGGTTAACATCACATTTGCTACCATTGCTTCCTAAAACATCTCCTGGTACTCGTTTATGCTGGTTAGACCTGAAACACTCTATATGTGCACTGTTTTTCAGCCTCAGGTTTAGCAAGTCTTCTTATTTCCATGCAGTCATTGTGACTTTAGATTCATTGTATTGTTATACTAATGGAGTGAGAATACAGCGGAATCTATGCTGACAGAGTGATAATACAGTGGAATCTATGCTGACAGAGTTGGAAGGCAGTAAAATGCTATTGAAAGAGAATAGGAATATAGTGGATTTATATTGCTTTTAGGGTAGGAATACACTGGAATCTATACTAGTAGAGTGAAAACAGTAGAATCTGTGCTGACAGGGTTGGAATACTCTAGAATGATATAGAAATAGAAAAGGAGTCTAGTGAAATTATATTACTGATTCAGGTAGGATTACAGTGGAATCTTTACTAACAGAGTTGGAATACAGTGAAATCTATACTGACAGAGTGGAAATCAAGTGACATATTATACATAAGATCAAAACGCTTTAACCATGTCACTTTGTAAATGTTGAAATTCAGGTCTGTCTTGTATTGTAATGGCATGGTGTCCTTGGATAGTGGTCACTACGCCTGTATGAAAGTTTTGCTGCTGGCTGCAATATCATAGTGTATAGACAGGGTGGGTATGATTATATTTACCCACACACACAAAAACAACTTGTAGATCTTATTTGGGGTGGGGGAAAAAATAGATTTTTATAAACTGATGTTAATTGTGATAACATGTAATTTCATAATTGCACCCCCTTGCTCTCTATGGAAAGGTTAAAAGATTTAGGATTAAAGGAAAGGAAATCAGTTAATTCTTTGCTCTATTTATGTAGAAACAAAACCTTTTCCCAATTTATACATTGAATATCTGGATAGAATTTGTGTAAATTTTTTTTTTATAACTTAACGTCATTAAAGAATCAGAGGACTTGAAGTCTGCCTGTCTGCTTGGTTATCTAGAGGTTCAATTCCCGGGATAATTCTAAAAAACTGCCCAAGACTCAAAATTTCTTCATCTTTTTCTGTTCTTCCAATTTTTTAGGATAGAGTTTCACAGAATTATAAGAATGTCTTTTTTTTTAAATTAAACTTGAGAAACTCATTTTTTAAGATTATTAAAAACATTAAGACCACTTTCATCATTGTATGTAAATCTTAAACTGTTTCTTGTTTATCCCCCCTCCCACACCCCGCCCTGATTCTTGCATCTTTGAAATATCGGAAACCACAACAGAGAGTAGCGTTTGTTTGTAGAAGTTTGTGAGAACCTCACAACCGCACCTCTTTGTTTACCTTAACTAGTATGGATTTTGTTTGTACAAAGCATAATGTAAATATTTATCTTTCAATTGTTGTAATACAGATTTTTTTTTGAAAGCAGTCCTCTGTTAACAAATCTGAATGTGTTGATCTTTTTTTATGAGTTGAGTGGAAGTTTATGTGAAATATGATTGTAAGTGTGGTTTGATGTTACATGTTTTTTGACAATGATTGACTGTTGTTTGCTCAATGTGACAATAATTGTGTGTCATTTGTTCTATGTGATAGTAATTGTGTGTCATGTGTTCTATGTGATGATGATTGTATGTCATGTTTTATGTGACATTTATTGTCCTTTGTTTTGTGGGACAAAGATTGCACTCGGGGCATTCCCATGTATGCTTCGTCCTCATCTTCAACAGCCAGCGCAGAGTTCCAGTACTGATATTACTGGTCACAATCTGGTTAAAAGTCTGTCTTGTCTTTCCTCTGAGTGTAGTGAGCCTGACAGACCCTCTGGTTACACCCAGGTGCCTTATTCTCTCAAGGCCATAATAATCTTCTTTCTCTACTGATTCCGTTGCTTGTTCCCAAAGGGCCTTGACCGCATCTGCCTTCATGTATCAATTCACCACCCAGTGGTGCGGATCCAGCCAATCTGTCTGCCTGTTCATTACCCACTATGTCGGCATCGCCTCGAAAAAAAAGATCCAAAGTATGCTCACCACCCGTGACCTTTCCAGTGAAACTAGCCACTCTGCATGATGCATCCCTGTCTTCACTTTTTTCAGCATGCTTTCAGAGTCTGTTCCAATTACGACATGTGTGTGCATCTTGTTCTCTAGCCACCGGAGAGGGGCAGTTACCGCCTCCACCTCCATTCTCATGCTAGATGTTGTGGTGTCATATGCTAGTCTGTCTTGCACTAAAAATTTTCCATTGGCTTTCATTACGAACCCCCAGGCACTTCTCTTTTCTCTCAAAACTGAACCATCTGTTTAGATAATCAGATCACCTGGGCGTGAATTGTCATAAATCAACTGTTGGACTAGCAGAGGGGGGAAGGGGCATAAAATAAATGGCTGCACAGGGGCGTCAAACATCCTAAATGTGGCCCTTAATGTGAGTGGTGTTCATGTTTAATGAGACAATAATCGTTAGTGTCACCTCTTTTATTCCAAAATAACTGTGTGTGTCGGTTGTTTTATTTGACAATAACTGTGTGTGTATCAGTTGCTTTATGTGACAGTGGTTGAGATTCTGCTGCCGAAGACTAATAGCCATAATGTCCTTTGTTTATTGTAAATGATTTCTTAAAACTGACACATAGTTTATTTTCTTCTCTATCTTTTTTTCTGACTTTTCTTTCTTAACTTGTCCTAGCTTTGTTTACACGTGTTTGCTTTGTGTGACAGTGATCATGTGACTGTGCAGTTCGTTTCTTTAAATGGACAATAATTTTGTGTGAATATGGTTTCACTTATGTTACAGTAGCTGGGTGTGACTGGTTTGTTTCAGATGACAATGATCCTCCTTTTTATGTCATTTTGTTTATGTAATAATTATTGTGAGCGTGCACAGTTTATGGATGACATGAGTGGGACTCGTGGGTGCAAGGTCATTTGTTATAATCACCTTTGTAGCAAGCTTGCCTTTGGCTCCCACAATAACCTAACCTCAAATGGGTGCTAGGAAAGGTCCGGTAAGAATAGGCAGCTGGCATTGCTTTGGTGACAGCTATTACTTAGTTGGAGTACCCATAGAGTAGTGGTTTGACGCTTGCATGCTGGCCAAAACGAACTGTGTTTAAATTTGCAGTAAGTCTGGTTTTTAAAATTTCCAAGTCAGCCCAGTATAAACTGGGTAGAAGATAATGTCCTAGAAAGTAAAGGCGGCTGGTGTGATGTTGACGTCATCACCTATCGAGTACTGATTGGTCTATAAACATATGTCTTACCTCATATGCCTGATGCGCCACTGATGATAAAAAGGGGGTTACTTAAACAAACAACAGTGGATACACATTTCTCTTGTTTTTAATTCACAAAACACAGATAACTTGACACAATATTGTTACTGCTCACTTCCGCCGCCCTTATCTGAAACAATCCTTCCTGATGCTTTTTTTGGGCGTTACTCCTTCCTCTACTTGTTGTTAAAGTAATCATGTTTCTGTCCTTGATATTTCTTATCTTTGCTGATGAGACTCCCTTTGCCCCGATATACTTCCAAGTGTTCTCATAATTAAACAGATTTATAGTGCAGCGTATTCGTATCTTTCTGCCAATTGTAAGACCATACCAAGGGCCCAATCTGTGCAATAGAACAAGAAAAATTGCTAGTAAACTTTATGAAGTCACTGCATTATACAAATATTTTAAAATATTAACTTACATAATTTTTAAGTCATCAACATTCAGAAATGTAAAAATGATACTGAGAATTGTCATTTTCTAAGAAAAAATAATACCATAAAAGTATCATCATCATCATCATGCGCCCTGCCAACTGGCGTAGGCGCTCATGCGTCTCCACAGATCACGATCCCTGGTTGCCTGGAACTGCTCTCTTGATGATATCCCTCCATGCCATCGTTTCAGCCCATCCATCATCATCTCTCTTGGTCTGCCTCTACTCCTTTTCCCACTGATCTTTCCAGTTGTCAGGATGTTCTCCAATGTCTCTCTTCTCATTATATGGACAAAGAGCAGTGTTTGTCTTTTCTCATTATGTGGCCAAAGAACAGTGATTGTCTTTTTCTTATGGTTGTATATAGAGATCTACTTTAATTACCTTCTTTTAAGCAATCGTTGTTAGTTACTCTTGCTGTCCAAGGTATTCGTAACATTTGTCTCAGAAACCACATCTCTGTAGCTTCCAAATTCTTCCTAATTTGTTCACTGGTATTCCAAGATTCACGGCCATACAGCAGAATAGGTTCTATGTAACATTTTAGCACCCTCTTTCTGACGTTAAATGAGAGCGATTTATTGCATAAGCTATTTTTCTTTTTTTTTTTTAAATGCAGCTTTCGCTTGACCTATTCTGCTTTTAATTTCTGTCACACATTTTCCATCTGATGATATGATTGTTCCCAGATATTTGAATTTATTGACTTGGTTAAGTCTTTTTCCTTTAATTGACATATCACAGCGTGGAGTTATCTTCTTCTTTGATATAAACATTACTTCTGTTTTCTTAATATTCAATGAAAGTCCTTTCTTAGACTCTCTACCTTAACAATATCCAGCAGTAAAAGTAGCTATTACTTATCCTTACATCCTTTTTAGGACGTAATATTTTGTTATTTGAAGCCCCACCCTGGCTTTTTCCAGGGGCCGCAATATAGGTAGGCCATAAATATGGCAAAATGTCTGAACGCGGTTTCTGGGACCTCTCCACGGTAATCCTAATCCTCATGGTGGCACTTTGTGTCATCTTGTGTCATCTTGTGTTTATCGCTTGTGTGATGTCCTAGTGGGGTAGAAAGTCAGTCAGTCAGTCATATCCAGCAGTTGTTGTAAATCAGTTGCATTTTCAGCTGTCAAAAATGTATCGTCTGCTTAACGCAAATTGTTCTTAATGTATCCTCCAACTCTTACTCCTGCATTCTCTTTAATATCCCTCAAAATTATTTTACTATTTAGAGAGAAAAGGTCTGGGGATAAGACACATCCCTGTCTTACTCCTTGCTTTATCTGTTCAAAAGCACCCAATCTGTTTCCCACTTTAATTGCTGCTGCTTGGTTCTAGTAAATGTTTTTAATGTTTTTTATTATTCTGAGATATTTCCCATCTGCATTGATGTCTTCCGACATTTTTATCATCTCTTCGAGTTTAACTTTGTCAAATGCTTTTGTATCATCTATAAAGCACAAATATGTCTTTTTGTAACCATAAATGTATACCGGAGTAAGTCAACGTGATTAGTTGTGTGGGGATCTCAGTAAATCAATTACAAAGGGAAAAGCTTAACACAGATGAAAAGTCAAACTAGTCTGCTACACAATACACAATCAAGAGACCAACAAATGAATGTTGCGACCAGAAAACCATATGAGAGAGAGAGAGAGAGAGAGAGAGAGAGAGAGAGAGAGAGAGAGAGAAAGAGAAAGAGAGAGAGAAAGGGGGTGGGGGGTGGTGGTAGGAATAGTACTACGAAAACAAACAGTGCAGACGTGTTTGCGGTATAAATAGATAGCAGGTTTTAAATTGGGGAGGCACGCTAGAGGAGAAATAGGTAAACTGTTCTAAATATGAGACATTTAAAGTGCAGTCTTGTTTGTATACGTCTGTCTGTTGTAAAACCACGCAAAGGGCCCAGTCTGTACAATAAAACAAATTAGACTTCTAATAGAAACATTTGAATTATCAAAGTATAGAATTATGATTTCATCTAAATGTCAAAGTAATAAATTATTAAATTAGCAATTATTAGATACTAAGAGAAAAATCCTCCAAAATGCAACATTAAAGTAAGTTAACTTAGTCGGCTATCCTCCGAATAACGGGCACTAAAGATTGCGGCCGTAAAATATCCTTTCGAGCCACAGTCACGTGACTTAATTTGCGGTTCTCCACGGCCCCCGCGCCGCTCACGCCGGAAAACCGCCGGAGAACCGCAAATTAAGTCGCTGGAAGTGCGCAATTAACACGTGACTGTATCTCGTAAGGATATTTTGCGGCCGCCATCTTTAGTGCCCGTTATTCGGAAGGTAGCCATTTAGGAGATTTCACACGGAGAAGAACAAAAAAAGACAGTGTGAAGTGTAGTTATAAATGTACGATAACAAATACGATATATGGCACGTGAATCTATACAGGCATAACAAATGTATAGCAGGGCTTACCTATGGGCTCGCCTTCAACATCTGGCATCAGTCGAATTTGCCTGGAGTCCGGAGCGAAGCCATAAGCGTTGACAAAGAGTGTTGGAATGAGAAGGCTCATCAGGCAGTCCTGGGAGACACTCTCAGCATCTTTCTCGTACTCAGCCATTGCCTGACTGACAGTCTAAGGAACATTTTATAGGCTATGAAGCTATGCTATGGGTGTTATGTTATCTTCTTTTGTTATCACCTGCAGGTTTTCTTCTTACAGAAGAATGCTTAAAATACCTTGGACAGTGAAAAAAAAAGCAGCCAAGAGGTTTTGAAAAAGGTGGTAGCCCGAAGACAACTAATCACATACATCAGAAGGACAAAGTCATAATTTTTGGGCCATTTTATGAGAAGAGGGAAAATAGAACATGTTGTGACCACTGAAAAGATATGTGGAAGGAGGGATAGAAGAAGACAGCAAGAGATTTTTGAGTCTTGTTATATGGCATGGAGGTGTGTCGCCACATGAACTGATGCATGCTGCAGAAGATCGCAGATTGTGGAGGGGCATGATTACCCACGCCATTTGGTTATGATGATGATAGGTTTTGAACATCTATGGATGTGTCCGGAGTGCTGTGAAGATAAACTAGTTCATAACTCAAACGAGAAAGAAGCACAAGTAATACGAAAGGGAGGACAACAAAAACAGATGCACAAACAACAATTTGACAGAGTTTATAACCAATATGAGAAACAGTACTTCTTCTTCTTCTTCTTCTTCACTTCCTCTTTTACCTCTGTGGGTGTCGAGGGAGATATAAGGTTCTGTTTCTAGCTCTTCTGGCTGCCTCGACCATAGGCACATCGTGCTGTTGTAGAGTTTCTCTGATGTTATCCTTCCATCTTGTTCTTGGTCTACCCCGTGCACTACGTCCTTCTTCTCTTTCCATGTATGCTTTGTATGGTATGGTGTCACAAGGCATTCTCTCTAAGTGGGCTACCATTTCACTTGCTGTCTTTGTATGTAATCCAGAATTGGTTCTGTGCCGACTTGTTCTCTTATGATCGCATTCCTGATCTTATCTCTTATGGTCACTCCTACAGCCCTTCTCAGACATCTCATTTCCGTGGTTACTAATTTTCTTTTATGGTTTGTTGTGAGTGACCATGTCTGGCACTGGTAGCACAGAGTTAGAATAAATATGCTTTGAATAAGATGTCTCTTTGTGCTGATTGGGATTGTCTTATGCTGTAAGAGGGGGGCTAGCTGTCTCAATACTTGGTTTGCTATACTGCATCTAAATATACAGTACAGTACTTCACCGGTAAAATGGCCCCCGATCGACATACTGAAAGCTGGTTCTATATAGAACGTTGTAGAAAACTTTTTAATTTTTAATTTTTAAGTGTTTGGTTTTACTAGGCAGTTTTACGATCAATACATAGCCAGTTTTTTCTTAATGTCGAGTACCCGCAGCATTTTAAAAATCAAAGCAGTCTTTTGCCAAAAAAAACTGAATCGAACCGGGTATTTTGGGATTACGAAGCGTATTCCTAACGCCTATTTCACAGACGCTAACCAATGATTAGAATGTCACCAATAAAAACGTTTACCTACCTTCTTGCAATAAACATGGCCGGCCTCTCTCAGGCGATCTAGATACAGAATCTTAGTGATATCAACAACACCCAGGGCTGTTGGGGTGTACACGAAGCCAACGGTGGCAATGAAAGGGATATCCAGTACCCGGGGTTGGTACACATGTCCTGGAGGAGAAATAGATGTTACATTCTTAGCCGGGGTTGGGAGTTCAGAGAGTTTAGTCCACCGGTCTTGTGATTACGCCTGCCCATCTTCATATGCACACACTTAGAGAACTGAGATAGATAAACGGATACACAGATATTTAAACAGGCAGGCAGGCAGGCAGGCAAACAGACAGTTTAACAGACATGCAAGCACTCGAATGGGCAGGCAGGTAGACAGACAGACGGACGGACGGACAGACAGACAGACAGACAGACAGACAGACAGACAGACAGACAGACAGACAGACAGACAGACAGACAGACAGACAGACAGACAGACAGACAGACAGACAGACAGACAGACAGACAGACAGACAGACAGACAGACAGACAGACAGACAGACAGACAGACAGACAGACAGACAGACAGACAGACAGACAGACAGACAGACAGACAGACAGACAGACAGACAGACAGACAGACAGACAGACAGACAGACAGACAGACAGACAGACAGACCGACCGACCGACCGACCGACAGACCGACAGACAGACAGACAGACAGACAGACAGACAGACAGACAGACAGACAGACAGACAGACAGACAGACAGACAGACAGACAGACTAGATTGATATGGTAATCTAGACAGACATACAGACAGACAGACAAGTAATTAGGTAGCTAAGGAATCGTCTATGTGTGAAAATGAAGGAAGTAGTCAGGTTGGTAGTTTGAATGGCATAAAAACCTCATATTACTTCTTTTATTGAAGTCAATAACGGGGAAATCTGAATTCCAATGAGCAGAAAAGAAAGACACAAATAAGACAAATGTTTGCTACAAAGTGCTTACCCAAACTACATGGTTTTGGCCAACATTCGTCCCCAATGCTGGGTTTGAAGATCTGGGCTAGGATTTCTTCACAAAACACAGGATCGCCTGATCCTTTGTGAGTCACAATTCTTCCATCGCTCAGTTGTACTTGTTTGATATCGTCTGCAAAGGAATGGCTAAGCATTTGAAAATGGCACACGACAACGAAAATGAAATACATACCAGAGCATCACAGTATAAAAACATATCTAACGGGATTGCTAAACGTTCACAGGCAGGGACAACAAGTGACCCACTGGAGTGATTCTACTGTAAACACTGTGTGGCACCGTAGAAGACCTCACCCGTACCGTCGTGTTAGTTACCCATGCTCAAATAGATGCGCAGAAAACAGTGATTGCCGAAGAAACAGAAGAACCACATTGTACGATCCAACCTCAAAGCATATACAGGCATATGAAAATAAAATTGTCTAAAAGATGTTTAAAGTGACGTGATCGATTTCATTGCATCGAATGTTTTTCCACATCTCTCCGCTCACTTAAAGCTGCACATAGCACGACACTCCGTAACTTCAGTGACGGGCCATGTAATTTTAAATTGTTCACTGGAGAACTAAACTACGAAGCCAGGAAACGAACGTACTGTACTTCTTTCAGAAGGCCAGGTACGTGATTTATATGTTCGGCCTCTACTGAATTCCCACCCTGCAACCTTCAAATAATTATATAATGAACATGTATGCCCAAATTCGTGATCAAGTATGAAAGCAGGGGTAATGATCAATAACTGTTGCTTTTGGGAATAGTACGCCATGACACACCAAGTTCCTCTAAACAACCTCTAAGATTATCCATTTCGCCTCTGAGAAAAGGCCTGTTCCCACATCGTTGCACCATTTCATTCACTTTTGCTCACTTTCCTGAATGTTTTTACGCTTTCCCAAAAATGTTCGAACTCTTTCACACACCTATACAACTTCCTCCATCTTTACATCTTTTCTCCCACACTGACATTCTTTACCACATCTTCTAACTGGGAAGGTAAAGACGACACGAAAGCTCTGTTGTGACATTCTTATAACATCCATCACCATCAATCAACAGGTCCTTTACAGGACGTCAGTCTCATCACGGTACGCCTAAGAGTTTCTCTTGCTCTAGACAAATCTCCAACCCTATGTGCTTTCATAGCCAGTGCATCTTCAAAGTCTAGTTAGTGTCCGTGTTTGCTCAGATCTCTCTCTCTCTCTGCTTCCTTTTCCGGAAGTTATATTCTCAGCACTCTTCTTTATGGCAGTGAAGCTTGGTCAACTTATTCGCATCAGGATAAAAGGCTACATAGCTTTCACATGTGATGCTAAGAAGAATACTTAGCATTGAGTGGTAGGACAAGATCACAAACGCTGAGGTATTGGAAACAGAAGGTATAACTACAGTATTCCTAATGTCCAGTCTCCGAAGGCTAAGGTGGCTGGGTCACACCTGGAGAATAGAGGAAGTTACAGTCCTGGAGGACATCCTCTATGCTGAATTACCGATGAGTAGACGATGCCGAAGCTGGCCTTTACTACAATAAAACGATGTGTGCACGCTGGACATGAAAGACACAGATGTTGAGGACAAAATGTGGGGACAAAATGCCATGATCCGTGTTGCGGGGTGCAGGGCAAATCAGGAAGGTACTGAGAATTAAGGGGGAATAAAATGATTGCAGAGAAGATGAGAGCTGAGCGTCTGAAAAAAACATATTATATACATATGATGGCATCAACAGTCCTAAAATCCCATCCTCTAATTGAGGAAGATTGTTCTTTCCACTGACGGGTTTTGCTAGTCACACTCGCCATCGTCATAGTCCCATGCTTCCCATAGCAAATATAACACTATCGGCTGGAAAGTCGGAAAGGTGCCAGTAAACTCCCCAACACTGTGCTCTTCGTTCCATGACATGGTAAAAATGTACCAGCTTTAGGACAGAATGCTGTTTATGAGCCAATTCTCCTCGATGTTCAGATCATGCAGAGTGTCAGCGTTTTTCTTGATCCCTTGTATTCTAAGAATGTTTAGGTTGTATTTCAGTTCACAAGCTCCGCTGTGTTTCTTCAACGATTAAGTAAACTCCTAGACTGACAACCATATGTTGCTATGGGTTAGATGCATGATCTCAAAAATCTTACTCAGCTCCCTTGCACAAGCTGCACCTTAGGTCCTTTATGCTCTCTAGTCTCTACAATGTTAAAGTGACTACTTTTCTGGCTTCTTTAACATCCGCACTGGAGGAAAAAGTTGCAGAAGAAGAGCAAAAGGCAGACATGGATAGAAGTGCAAAGGTAATATCAAAAGCTAACGAACAGCCGTCTTGGAAAGTGTACGCCAGGGACACTAGATGAGTATCGTTAATTTTATACATTAGAGTCCTATGTAGTCACTTCATAGTTAGAGCCTATTTGTGTATGTGTACTGTGTTGTCCTTTATGTGCTGATGAAGGCTAATCGCCGCAACGTCCTTTGTTTGTTTATTGTGATCGATTTTGTAAAGCTAACATAAACTAATTGTTGTTTCTTACCAACTTTTTCTCTTCCCTATAATTTTCTACTCCTTATAAAAACATCTAGGACGATAAAGAGCGATCGAGATGTCTTGCAACCAACATGTATTGCGAAGTCAGCACTTGACTGACTGCTTTTCCTGTATGAATTCCGCGCGGAGGGGTGGAAAAAGGGGGGGGGGGGGGCATAGAAGAACTGCACCCTAACAAACAAGTCGTCCAAGGCGACTAATTAGGATAGTTTCCTTCAAAATCGAAGCGCGAATGCCTGAGAGGCAATGAACCAACAGTCTGCTTAAAATAAGCCAAATGCATGTGCACGCAAAATTCAAGTCCTGGAACAAGATTAAAGTCTAGAAGTGAACTCACAGCCAGAACTTTCCACCACAGTCTACAGCCGGGGACTGGCAAGAAGGAGCTTGTCGACCTGTATGCTAGTGCATGAATCCCTTACCGTGAAGCATGCATGGGTTCATAGGCTGAGGTGCAGCTAAGCTTCTGTTTTCCAGGACATTGTGAATCTTGACATAGATGCTCTCTGATCCATACTGCAGGTAGTTCTGTGTGTACAGCTCGTGTCTTTTCTTGTTAAACATAAGCTGGGGGAAGATCACAAATATGATACATGAGGTAAGTAGAATTCTGAGGAGAAACATATATTATAATATCTACATACGAACAGGGGCGCTAAAACACAGGGGGCTTGGTTGTTTTTAGCACACTAACCCCCCCCCCCCCCCCCCCCATTTTAAGTGGCGAAGTTGCCTCAACACCCACCCCCTTTCCCCAACTCCCTCCCCTTTCAACACTCTATAGAAATTGTACTTTTAGGCTTTTGATTAAAAGTGTGATATTATTTCCAATATATTATTATTTTTATCTGATATGCGGCCAATTATTATAATTAATTTCATAAACACGGTGTAAACTCCTCGAGGGCTCCCCCCTCCCCTTTCCCCCACAAACATACACTCACACACACAGAGAGAGAAAGTTTGTCCTAGCCACATAATTTCTTTATGTTGAAGCCCCTGAATACGAGGAATATAGCTAATATAATACGTAATACATAAGGTAAGTAGCGATCCTGCAGAGAATCAAATTATGTAACATCTACAAGGATAGCAAAGAAGATTATAGGCCAGATGTGCTATAGATATTCAACTATACAACAAAACTGAGGGCTCCAAGATGTTACAGATATGCACTACAACGATGATAATGGTTTCAAGCCCAAGGCACGCATTCCGTAGCTCCAGCTTCATAGAAAAAAGGCTGGCATGTCATATCACAACATCCAGTTTCATAATGGAGGCGTAGGCAGTCACTGCAGCCTTCTGCCTCACAGACCGCGTAGAGAAAGGTGGAGACAGGTATCGTCCGTACAGAGTAGCGAGCATCGCTTCTGAGGTCTGGTAGGAAACAAACATGCAGATAGACTAGCTGGTTCTGACAAGTTAGATGTTGTGAATGTTCTTTGCGAGCGAGTGAACAGTGAGGAGGCATAGAGAGATCATCATGATCGGAGGAGAATGATGGTTCGAGAGTTTTTAAGGGTTCTGGCCGACCCTCAACACTCAAGGGAAAGGTAAGACGGATATAAAATTAGACTGCTAATGGTGTCATCGGAATTGCTGCTGATGATAGAGACATAGTGCTTATGGAAATGTCTGTAATGCTGTGATGTTCACTCTTATTTAAACATTCAACGTTCAATAACACGAAACAAGAGGATCCGATCTGTTACAAATATACAATACAATGAAACAGAAGGATCCGATCTGTTGCAGATATAAACGCAACAAAAGTTATGGGGGAGAGCTGTCACATAAATAAAACAGAAACGAGAGGTCAAGTCTGTAACACACATACTCAACAACTGTGACCAGATCTGTTACAGATATGCAGTACAGCCAAAATAAGGATAGTAAATAAATTGTACCCCACCAGGACATCACACAGAGCGATAAACACCCGGGGACACAAAGTGCTGTCATGTGGATGAGGATCATGGGTGAAGAGGTCCCGTTCAACCGCTAGCTTATATTGCGGCCCCTAGCAACAGCCAGAGTGGGGCTTAAAAAAAACCCACGAAAAATTGCATCCCACAAGTGGATAACGAAGAATGCATAAAAAAGGAAAGGATCACTGTTACATATAAAAAAAAAAGACAGGGACGAGATCAATGTTACAATATAACAAAGACAATGGATAAGATTAATGTAACCGATATACAATAGAGCATTACAAATTATAAGATCAATATTACAGATATATATATATACAATGCAACAACGACTTAGATAAGATTAATATTGCAGGGATTCTTTACAGCAAAGATAAGGAATACAGTTTGTAACAGATATAATCAACAACGCAAACAAGGGATGAAACCCGCAGCTGGAATCGAATCCGGCATCCCGGCATTACGAAGCTTTCGCATCAACTTAGCCACAGAGCCGACAGTTACTAATATACAGCACAAAAAAGACGGACGTTAAAATCTCTCTACCAGTTGAGCAGGTGCCGTTTCCACAATGAAGGCTGACTGCAATGGATCTTCAACAGGCCCTGTCTCTCATGCTGGATGAAACTTTCTGACAGTTGTTTATACTTCTCTTGATGTTGTCCTCCCACTTATATTACTGTCTGTCTCTTGTCGTAAAGCTCCACCCCGGCACTTTGTATCACCGGGTGTTTATCGCTCAGTGTGATTTCCGGGTTGGGTTGAATGTCAATCAAGTCTGCTTGCCTTTACCTTTTTCCTCCAGTAAGGTTTACATGATAAGTTAAATGTTTTTAATATTTTACTTGCCCCTTTTTTATCCCTAGTCTCTTCATAACCTCTGTATTTGATAGGATGGGTCACTGATGAACATTACAACAAGAATTGTGACTCAGATCTGTTACAGAAATACTAAACAGCTAAGACAAAGGATCAGATCTGTAACAAATATATAATGCATAGAAAACGTTACATATACGATTCCCTCGTCTGTTCAGTGTCGCAAATCAGTAACAGATGCAATCTCTTCGTGTCCGTTGTGGAGTGTTTTGTAACAGAGTCGATCGTTTTCCTTAAGTCGTATTTATGTAACCGGTCTGTTACTACGTTTTCTATGCATTATATATTTGTTACAGATCTGATCCTTTGTCTTAGCTGTTTAGTATTTCTGTAACAGATCTGAGTCACAATTCTTGTTGTAATGTTCATCACTCACAAAAAAATAAAACAACTAAAACGGACAACCTGATCTCTCAAAGATGTGTACTGTACCCAAAACAAATATGAGAAATTTCTCACCGATGTACTACTACACAAGGAAACATATCAGCTAGATCTGTTACCTGTGTACAATACAAGGAATATTATGAGCTGGATCTGTTACCGATGTGCAGTACAAAGAAAATTATGGGTCAGACTCACTGGATATTTCTCAGAATACTGGGGCTCGTCTGGTACAAATGTGATTGCTGTGGCTTCGTTGCCCATGTCCAGGACTCCGACTGTCTCATTCTGGAATCTGACGATGTTTGTTTCGGGATTATTTTAGGAATCAGTTCAAAGAATGTGCATTCATTTATTATTTCAAAAAATACACGTCCGTGGATTGATTATTTTAGATAAAACATTAATGGATTATTTTAGTGAATAAACGTTACTGAAATATTTTAGAGGACTGACAAGTTCGTGGATATTTGTTAAAAGAATAGACTTTCGTGGATCACTTTAGAGTATACAGGAAATTCTAACTAAACAAACAAAAATAAATATCCATAGATAGTTTATTTTTGGGGTCTTGTTAAAAGAACGGCGGGAGAAGGGGGTGGGGTGGGTGGGGGGGGGGGGGTTGGTAAAAACACAAGCTGGCATGATTGCTGGGTTAATAGCAAGAGGAAGACAACCCGATCAAAAACTGGATGTTTCCGCTGCATGGATACAAGAGCACTGCGATTCTGAATGATAGTGTAGGATTGCCAAACATGACCAAGTACCCTTATAGCCAGGTCACACGATGACCAAGATGATGATGATGATTACAAACATAATTTGAACAGTCACATTTAGTCTCTAGAGATGTAGGTGTCATATTTCATGGAAACAATAAGAATAAAATATCCTGTACAGTTTTTCTTTTTCCAGAGTTTAAGAACGTTTGGTTTATTTGTTAGTTTCACCTGCTGCAAACTCAGGTTGAACGTCTTGGATTTTGGCTTTATTCCAGGGCCTGAGCTTTGTGTGTGCATCCGTTTTACATATCTGTTCCGTATGTTTTTTCCTTGTTTTTGATGCACTACGACTTTGAAGGACAGGTCGATCCTATCTGTAAGATGACTGTAGTAGATCTGAACCTTGTGTTGCAATTCAGTAGGATTCTCAACTTTCTTAAAATAGCAACTGGACTTTTGTCATATAGAAGGAGGCTCTTGCAGTGAACTTCAATCCGTGCTCTGTAGAAGACCTAACCCTTGGACTGGGGTGGCCGATTGAGTGCCAGAGGTTATCTGGACACTTCTCTGTGGGGGCAAACCAGCTCCGAGATACCTCTGCCATCTCTTTTTAGGCCCACATTCCTAGGGGCACGACATTTAGCAAAATTTGCTTGAGAGTTCTTAAGGCCAGCACAGAGACTGCTGGTGGCCCAGGTGAGGTACGCGGTATCCCGTTAGATCCCGCACAACGGACATAACATTCCATCACGTCTGTGATCAAAATCCCCACACCCCAGATATTTCCCCTCTCATTAATGCCGCGGTCGGTCGCACGGCCTGTCCTATGGTATGGGGTTGTTATGAGATGTCTCCGTTCGGAGGCGTTGCAGACGCCTATGAACAAATAAGTACTGCAGGCGAAAGGGTAAAAGGCGAGACTGTTCGTAAGTATAGAAACTGGCATGTTTTTGCATTTCTACTTTCTTTGGTGGTGGCTGCATCAATCTCACCAGACTGTGGTGATCCATCTGCTCCTCCGAACTGTACACGCTCTCCCATAATTCACTAACCACGTCTGCCTTATCATGCAACAGTATTCCACCAAGCTGTACAGAGCCAGCCAGCCTGTACGCCTGTTCATTTCCTAACACACGGGCGTATCCCAGTAAAATAAAATCCTGGTCACTCATTTGGTCACTCATTTTGTCCAAATCTTCATCTGTGAGCTCAGTCCAGTTTTGTCCGATGTCAGTGCTTGTGTGGAGGTTCTCCTCTCGCTTCGCCTCATATGTGGCCATATTGTATTTTATAACTGTTGGCCATAGTGGTTGTCTAGATATGTGTCTTATTTATTTTGTTTTATGCTTTTATTAAGTCATCCCATTCCATATTCATTAAGTTCCCCAAACATTTTTTTTTTCTAATGTTCGTTTCTTTCCTTCAGTGGTTCTCCAACACTCGCTGACATATTAAAACGGAAGTAATATTACATGTGAAAACTTGTAAAAAGATCTATTTTAGACACTTTGTTCAGGTTGTCAAAAGCTGCTGCGACCTTGCCAGTGCATTTCACAATATCGTAAACTAACAATTTAAGTGTTACTGACTACCACTGACCAATCAGTTACCTGCTTCCATCTAAGCCTCCGAGAAGATAGTTAGCAGCCAGCCAGCTAGAGACAGCTTCATCTTCACCCGACAGCAACTGGACATTGCACTTTTTAAACTGGAAGGGGTTCAGAGTGCGGTTCTGGTAGAGCAGCTCTCGAATGTAGTCCAGGATTTGCTTCACGTCTTCGACGGGCAAGAAGCGCAGGCCTGTGTTTGGGAAGAGAAACAACATTCAGTATAGGTGCCTTCGTGTACTGCTTCAAAACCTGAACAAACGAGCGTATAGTGAAAGAAAAGATCAGTCAGTTTGAACATCTGGTTATAATTCGGCAAAATCAGTTACCAACAGAGAGAATTTAGAGAATGTAATACTAGAGCACGAAGATACACTGGGGCGGGGGTGGGGGGGGGGAGGTGGGTTACAGACAGCGTACATTGAACGAACGAACGAACGAACTTTATTTTCAAAGGGTTACAAATTAGGCACGCAGGCCTGTCTTACATTCGGCCCTTCCAAACTTCCATCTTTCACACAGCAGTTGTATTTGACACGGAACATGATGGTCGTCGTGATGGTGGGTTGATGATGATGATGATGATGCTGATTACGACGACCATAATGATGACGATGAACTAAACAAGTCCTATACAAGATATGAAAGTGACCACATGGCACAATGCACACACAAAAAACATAAATGATGGCACTGTCTTTGAAGCAACAACTATAGAAAGAAATAAACAGCGGTTGTAAAATCGAGGGTGAAACAACCAGAATTACCTGCAACAACTAAAATACAGAAGTAAAGCAACATCAAAGAAGCGGGTCTACCTAAATATGCAATTAAAGTCGATGGATGAGTAGAAAACTTAAAACAGATACCCTAAAAGACACTACACCAGAAGAGATCTGATCAGAGTCTAAAGGGCTTTAAAGGAGAGGATAGATTGATAACAATAAAGACACAAATAAACCAGGAATGGGAATAGCAGTGTCAGCCATTAAGTTACTCCCCGCACGGTTTAACAGCAGAAGTGAAAGGTGTTGATAATGATCATGACACTGATGATGATGAACGATTGTGGTGATGATGATCATGGTTATCATTGTAATCATACATGATTCTGGTCCAGTATGGCGGAATGATTTAATCTGGCAAGTTATTTGTTTCTGGTTACGTGTTGCATTTCCCTTATATGTGGAATGACAATTTATAATTCCGTCGTTGAGTACAGGGCGCTTCTCTGTGGGACGTAACTTTCATTTGGATACTTTTAGACTGTGGTGGTTTATGTTGTAACGTGCAGGTCAGAAAATGTCGATGACTTATTGCTACAGAACTAGTGGGGTCATGGGTGAAATTATGTTTGCAACTGCTGCTGCTGCCATGACAGCAGAACGTTTTGTGTTGGTTTCGACAATGCTACCGAGAGCTGACCGTTTAGTTAGAAATGGCAAACTACTAAATGTAAAATTTGTCTACAAAAACCACAACAGCCAAGACAATGCTGGGGTTGGTTCTGCAACATCCTGTAAAAAATATGCAACCACTTTTTCTTTTCCATCGACGACCCACTGTAGCTCCGGTCACGAGATTTTTCTGTTGGCAATTTCAAGGGCGTATGCTTCGTGGACACAGCGATGGGCATTCTGTGCGATTTCCCCTGGCTTTCAAATGAACCAATTATGGGGAGGATGATCCATTTTTCCGTGAAGCTTGAACTACGATTGAGTGCTGATGATGATGATGATGGTGATGATGATGATGGTGATGATTATCATTCTCTTTATCATTATCATCATCAAGGAGAAGAGACAGAGCGATGACACCTGTAATTCTCAAACTTTGAATTCCTACCTGAGGTCAAGTACACGTGGAGATAGGCCCATTCGTAATGGGCGCTAGGAATGTGCTGCCGTGCTTCCGCTAGGATGCTGTCCAGGTGTCCGAGCAGAAACTTGCGGTCACTGAGGAGAGTTCTCACCCCAGGAGAGAAGGATTTCAAGAACAACAGTTTCACACTGGACTCCGGTCCATACTTGGAGTGTACGACATTCACTCTGTAATAAGAATTCAAAGATTCTAGCATAAAACATTAGTCAATAAATACACACGTCTTTTTTTTTTTCCTCTGATGATTTCACACCCACTCCTCTTCCTCAACCTTTTTTTCCACATTGACTGAGGACTAATAGTTAAATATGCAACCTTTACAAGACTTTAGCTCCAAAGTTATTCAAACCAGGAAATGTCTCGGGAAGTAAAGGCGACTAGTGTGATGTTGACCACAACTCCCATCGAATGCTGACGCATCCAACAATGTGGGACTAACATCAAGGTGGAGACAGGTATTCTATGTGTAGGTATCGCTTCATAATCCTGGATAGTTAGTACCCTTTTGATACTTTCTCTACAGTCTCCAGGTGTGTTGGGATATGAACAACGTGTTGATAGATTGGCTGGTTTTTCACCACTCGGTGGCAAATGGGTAAATGGTAGCCTACATGGGGTATGTTAGGGGACAGTGGGGCTATCCTCCCCTCCCCCCCACAAGGTATCCCCAGAAACAGAATGGTGAACTCGGAAACGTGAACCCGGCTAACTTATTCGGCAGGTAAGGTCACAAACCAAAACAAATAGATACTTCAGTAACTTGTCTTGCTGCTCTGTCTCTATTTGATATAGATTCTGTAATTGACTCCTTGCTTACTTCAACAACAACAAAATGTTCTGACTGATAAACATCATGTGTGAGTTGAACAAAAACCATTTCCATAGCATCTGAGCTGCATGATCGCATCCTCACATAAAAGCACAGTATAAAGTCAAACATGGACACTGTGTTCAGAAGACAGAAGGAAAATAGTTACAACAGATATGAAATGTTTATTAATATGCTAGGTGTAACGAGGAAAGATCGACTTAGGAAAGATGATATCAGAAGGGAATCAGTGTGACAATACGCTCGGTGACTCCAGAATGTCTTTCCTCAACCTACTTTTATTTCTTTGTATTTTGAAAGTAGACAGGAAAATAGGGATTTGGATACATCCTTAATCTAAGTAGGCGAAATAAACAAGTATTTAATTCTCCTGGGATGTTGGCGATATCACACACTAAAACTGTTTCCCAGACGTTAAGTGTTGAGGTACAGAGATAAGACTGACCAAGCAGACTTACTGACTGGAGATTTGCACACCATCTGTTGGTGTCAGATGTTTCATCTCCTAGCCAGACTTTTAGGAGCAGCTAACTCCGGCTAATTGTGGTTAATTCCCCCTGAGGTTACCTACCTAACTCGACGGCAGGTCCGACGGTCACTATTGACACAGTGAGCGGAAAGTGTTGGCAGAAGAATTGACAAAGTCGGATTTTATTGTGATGACAGGTCAAGTAGACTGGAGGTGTGACTAGGCCTATTAGCTGGGACCAGCTTAATTGAACCTGTAGAATGTGAGCGTGGGAATGCAAACAATTGTTGTACAGTCACTGACTGACAGTGAATATACACCCACAAGGGAGGAGCTGTGATATCCCTTAATGAGAATGATTTTAGGCGTAATGTAGGAGGAGCTTGATAAAAGTTATAAAGTGGTGAACGCTAGGTCTGGTAAATGAGATCCTGTCTAGCACATGCCATCTGTTGGGCTTAACCTAAGCTTGAGACAGAACTTTTGGCATCGTGATTTCATTTTTCCAGGTAAGATCGAAATTAGGTTCACATCTATATTTTATGACAGAGATCTGTCTTTTTGCTCAAGTGTGTGTCTTCATCACTTTGTAGTACTCCTAGGCGGACATTTCTTCATTCTCGTAGGGCACTGTCACATTGCTTTATTTCCTATTTGATAGTGTCATGAATGTTTTTCGTGCACATGTGTTTCAATGTTGTAAAACCTAAATGTTGTTGTTGCCATTGAAATTTAATGAACTATCATGTTTTTGAAATCACAAGCGTGAAGATAACTCTGGCAATCTTTTCACGTGTGGTTAATGTGAATCTGTATTACATACAGCTTGCACACTGAAATGTGTTTAACTCTCGGGAGGCTAATGAGGAGATTGATCCCGGAGAGAAAATCCTTGAGATTTGGTATTTGATTCGCCTCAGAAATATTGTTAGCTTTCTGGGCGCGTCGATTGTTCCAAGCATAGATTCCAGAACTGGTTCTGTCTGACTGATTGTCATTTTGAGTCTGTACGAGAGATGGCACCTGACGTAGAAGACTTGACTATCATTACAGGACGTGTAGAGGAAGGCAGAAGATGTAACAGTTGGAATGTGAGACATAAGCCCTTCCAAATTGGACAGGAGTGAATGTGAGCATGAGGGAGAGATGAAATGTTTTATTTAAATAAACATGCTTGATGTTAGTATAATATACATGCTTAGTGTACATCTAGAGCAGATACTACAAATATGCGCTTGTTTCTTCATTCTCCAGTTCCCACATTGGGCAGGGACTAGTAGGCATCCATTATTTGCCGACCGTCGAGTGTAACGACCTGCAGAAAGCAGTGAGGACGACAAACTGGAAAAGATAGGCAGGGTCTCAAGCCGAGAACTGTCCTGATGAGCTAAGTTATGTACAACTTTAATGTCATCTATAACATCATCCCAACTCTACTAGCCTAAACAAGTTCATTTTATTTTAATTTCGATTTATTAAATAAATCTTTTTGATGTTTAAACAAAGTTGAGTAAATTGTGTACTTAGGTTCAAGTGTCTTTGTGCATATTAGTTTACTTCAGCTAACAAATATTTAAATCACTTGATGGGGGCTTTTAAGTAATGCCAGGAGAGGAGAGCAGTCGGAGGGGTTAACTGAGCACCTGGATTATATCACAGTGGGTGTATCCAGAAATCTATCTATCCCTTCTCCTTCTCCTGTGGATACAAGTACAGCAACTTTCATTTCATGGAACGAGCCACTCGCTGTTTTCTTGGCTATCCAGGACTGTCTAGGATCAACATAGCTTAGATAATAGTCCAGTTTCTCACGTGGGTGGGCATTGTTAAGGATCAAACCCACACCCTCACTATATCAGTGTATTTACCCACGTGGGCGCGCGACAATCAGCACAGAATTAAAACAGAACTTTATAGGTAGACAACATGTAACAAGACTGGAAGCAGACAGGGCACCACAGAGAGCAATGTTATACAGATACAGCAGTAACAGGCCAAGAGGTCGACTACGCAGAATATGGACCGCAGAAATATCAGAGACACTGAAAAGTCTTACATACGAAGCGAACAGAAGGCCTGTTTTAGAGATCTCTTCCTCCCCTGCCGATGCGAGGCATTCCAGGAGTAGAGAAAAGAAGATAGACAGAAGAAAGAAGTATAACATAATTATGCATGAATAAATAAATCAGCTACTTAGTTAAGAAAAAACTGTTCACGGCATCAGTGCAAGGGTATATGGTGCTAGAAATATTTTAGAGAACATTCGGCTCTCGATGGGCGATGTGGTCAATATCATGTTGGCCGCCTTCATTTTCCCGGACATTTCATAGTATCTGTTTTCGCTGAAGTCTACACAGAGCCAAAAACAATCTACAGCGCCCTTTTTAAGCCAGTAGTGCATACGACGCTGGACTCGTATTTGTTATAAACCAATGGGCCTTTGATTGATGGTGTGGTCAGCTTCTGTACTTCCCAGGACATTACTTGGCTCAAATGTCAGGTTGGATCGCCCTGGGAGCAAAGGTCATTTTGGGTAAAAATAGATTTTCCTGGATTTGATTCGGTCGTCGAGAGTCTAGCCATTGTCAATCCGTTGAACCCCACGGGAGCCATAGTCACTTACAAGAAATCTGGTTGATGATTCGAACTCTAGGACTTATGGCTGGCAGGCAAGCTTCTAGGCACAGCGCTACCATGGCTCCAAAATTAAGTGGTACGTTTGAAATAATAAGAAGAGCGGGCTGTGATGTTTTTTTATTTTTTTTTTTTTTTTATTTACTAAAATAAAAACTGTCATTACTGTCTGTGTTTGCCACAACTGTGGTGTAGGTAGGGGTCTGTTGTGTCTGAGGATTTAGTGCCATATAGCTAGTGTTTAGGTTAGGGTTTTATGTTTGCTCCCGACAGGAGAAAACCCCCAGTCTTACTGAGGATTCCAAACCGGATCCAACGCATAAGAGACCTGCGTTCTTAACCGTTCGACTAGCTGCTCCTCGTTGTTTGTTTCCGCCTCAACTCTTTCAGTCGCAGAAAGTAGAAACCCAATCAAATGATAACAGTGAGAAGGGAATCATTGTATGAATTTCAAAGATACAGATACATTATATTCTCTGCTGTACTGAATTTCAAATAGTTGGCCAGACTTCTTGTTCATGCCCAGACCAAACACGAAAAAAGTAATAAGACACATTGATACACACAGACAAAAGCTGATCACACTTGGTGCGTTGCTTGGGTCGGAAATAGTTAATTAACATTTCGACTTAGCTGGGACATTTGCTTGGCGTCTGATGTTTCTCAGAGATGTTTAGGGCAACAAGTATAAGTCTGAGAAGACAAATAAACCTTACACTCGTTCCATACGATAGTATTACACTGTGCTATAGAGTAACAATAACAAGAAGAAAAAGACACAAGTGCAATTTTATCAGCAGAACAGAAAGAATATGCAACGAAAAAAATAATGTTCTATAACATTCGTAGGAAAACAGTCATTCTTACTGGTATATCTTCAGCAGAGTACTCGAGTTTCCAGCATCCAAGATGATTGTGTGGGATGGTGTGCCTACTCCCTGAGCAGCTGAGAAGGCTAGGAGCGCCGATAGAGGCAACAGATAGTACATTTTTTAAGTATCTGGCCTCGGCTCCTTCTGCTGCAATGGTAAAGATTAATGTTGTAATGTGTCTCAGAATAATCTACTAAGTCTTGGACATCTCATTAGAATGCAGCTTCAACAATTACAACTAAAGGTAATAAATATTAAAAATCTGGTGTGATAGAAAGTGTGCGCAGTAGGATATCACATCAACGACTTTGTACATCCAAACAGAAACTGTTTCTCCCCACGGACTTGACGGCAATAGTGGAAGCTGATGATGAACACTAACTGGAACACATTGGGTTAGTATGACATGACGGGTTACAAAAAGTTTAGTAAAGTACATCATGTCAGTGGAAACCAACAAACATACAGTGAGTTGCTCGTTACTGAGTATTGAATGAATTATTCGCTCACGTACTGAGGGAGAGAAAACTGGAATACACTGGGACAACAGGAAAGCTGGAATAGAAGATAGTCGCTGGTCCTAAAGAAAAGATGTACAGTTTTACATTGTAGCATAGAGGATCGTAGAATCCCAAATGATTTTTTGTATGCGAGATGGAATGTTGTTATGCTTTGTTTAATTCCTACATCGGCCATGCACTCAGAATAGATCAGACAAGCCTCCCCACCAATCCCTCGTATGGACACCGGAAGGGAAAAGAACACAGGAAAGACCAGGAGAGACTATAATTAGGGAAGTCTCAGCCATGGACCTAATGAACACCCAAGACCTACGATAGGTGGCAACGAACCGTCAGACATGGAGAGCTATGACCTTTGCCCTACGCGCTGCCCTAGGCTCAAGAGAGAATAACTAACGAGAGGGAAGTCTGTAGAGCGTATACACAAGTGATGACACAAACATGGCAGGAACAACGAATTATCGAGCTTGCTGGTTCAGTTTTTCTGTGTTACTTAAGCGGGATGATCTGTCGGTGACATCATCATCACATCACATCATCATCATATCATCATCACATCATCATCACATCATCATCACATCACATCATCATATCATCATCACATCATCATCACATCATCATCACATCCTCACCACATCATCATCACATCATCATCACATCATCATCACATCATCATCACATCCTCACCACATCATCATCACATCATCATCACATCCTCACCATATCACCATCTTCGTCGTCGTCGTCATGAAATGCTTCAACCGACTGATGCGAGGGATCTACAAGTCTCCACACTGGAGGTTGGCTGCAACATATCCACCGCTAATTTTGGGAATATTACTCGGTGAGGCCCTGAACTTTGCCACGGTGTGACTTTCGTACAACTATCTAAAAGCTTTGAGAAATGTATTCCTCCATACTCTCCGTCACAGGAACTGATCCTTGCAACGATTACACTAACTCAAGGCACTAGAAAGCATCATAGGGCTGTCAGAAAAAAGCTTCTCCACATGTTGCAATTTAAAACATAATGTATCAATGGCTGTCTTTAATATACTGTATCCCTCGTGCTTATCTTCTCTTTCCTACTGAACTTCGGGTTGTCACAACGCCTTTCCGTCCCCCCCCCCTCTCTCTCTCTCCCTCTCTCTCTCTCTCTCTCTCTCTCTCTCTGTGTCTCTCTCTTTCTCTCTCTCTCCCTCTCTCTCTCTGTCTCTCTCTTTCTCTCTCTCTGACTCTCTCTGTCTCTCTCTCTCTCTGTGTCTCTCTCTTTCTCTCTATGTCTCTCTCTCTTTCTCTCTCTCTCACTCTCCATTAGGAGACCAAAATATTACGACTGTCTCTTCCTGATGTTTGTACTAAACTGGCATAGCATTGAAAAAAACTACCATTACTGCCCGTACTCCCCTGTCCCCTCCTTTTCAAGTGTAGGCAGAGGTGGGGTGTTTTTTTAGTCCCGAGATATTTAGCATCATGAGATTAGTGATATCGCTAAGAACTGTACAGGCTTAGGTTGGTGTTTTTTGGGGTGCGATATCATTTTTCAGAACATTTACACTGTATCTGCCATTGAATTAACATCTCTTTTCTGCAAAACAACATCCCTGACACTTCCTTCTTTTATCATTTAATTAATTTCTTTTTCTTACATTTATTAGCGGTCAGAACACAAAAATCTCACGAGAGATCAGTTCCGTAATTTTAAAAAAAAAAACGAAAAAAAAAAATTTAGCCGGTCATCCTGTCATCACTGACGGGATGACAAAATGGCAAGAATATGTTGTTTTTTAAATAAAC